AGCTAAGGGGAAAATTCTGACATCCTCAGGAAGTTTCCGGCGAGGAGAGGTGCAGCTGCACCTCTTTGCTCCTCTGTGGATCCGCCAGTGCATGTCATGTTGTTTTATATATATATATATTATAAAAGATTTCATTCATAAACCATAAAAGACATATATATAAAGAACAACACGAAAACAGTAGCCTTGTTAAAACTTTTCTAAGAAAACCACATAGGACAAAACTCATGATAAAAAAAAGTATCACACATGCTATGAACTAACATGAGAGTCCGACTCAGGTCACTTTAGACCGCTAGATATCGAATACATGTTATGCTATTAATTGGTAACTAGACTATGGATTAAATGAAATATTTATTTGAATGAGTGATCCCATAATTTTATTATTTGACATTATAATATGCGAAGTATGGAATGGATGTTATAGAAGTTATAATATGTACGTTAAGCGTGCATGTGATGACAAGAAAGCACATTATCTATATTTTAATACAAGTGTAATTTTCTGTAGATTTTATCTTGCGTGAGAATGAGACAGAAATGACATCGCTCCCTTTATTAGTCAAGCAATATGAATGTCACGGGCCTAACACTGGCGCGAATATGGACATGCATGTTCTTGTTTGAGGCCATTTGTGATTTTAGCTTTATAACTCTAATAGCATATATACTAAACCTTTATTAGATGGACGTGCACATCTCTTCCTATCTTGCTTTTCATGTATAGAATATGTCCATCTTAGGGGGTAATACATTATATGGTTAGTAAGTTAATACAGTGCGAACGGTACACTTGGGCATGCTTCATAATGTATTTTTATAATTCGAAATGTTTAAATTAATATTGTAGGTCCTTATTTAAAAATCATCCTTGCAAAATTTCACTCAAATCAAAAAAGTAAACGGTCCGCGTCATGAGATAAATATTGTGAAGTATACTAAAATGAGTGGTTAATGCTGTATCAGTAACTGATTAACGTTTGAATTGAAGTGTAAAGGGATTTGTCATCAAACATACGAAAGTGACATCATTGCAAATATCTATCTGTTCATGCTCGTAATAAGTTTTCCTAAGGTGAAAAGAAAAGATTATATGTACCAGAACCTAGGGTCCATTGCTTGAATAATTATGATCACTTTTACCTTCTCTTTACCTAGATGTCTCTCTATGTTAATTGGCTTACGGATACATCAATCTATCTTTCACTACACAACACCAAATAAGCATGATTTCTCCTTCATGAATGAAATCTTTTAGTTCGAAAAAAGTGTTAATAGAAAAAACAAAAACAATAAATAAAAGAATAAATGCTAAACTACAAATTAAAACAAAAGCACAAAAGTTTAAGTAAATGCTGCTCGATGGTATGTACGAGTAAATGTTGTTTCTTTGAATAGGTGGCTATTGGGTCCTGTCAAGTCGTGTCTCATAAAACACAGAACCCGATCAATTTACTTCCTTGGAGGAGGAGAAGTCCTTGTAGTTTAGCTTAGCTTAGCTTAACCTATAGCTAGCCCTTGTAGTTTCTGCTGGGCCATTTCCATGAATGGTGCATGTTTATTAATGTAGCATGATCCAGTCTTTCATGTGTTTGCTGCGGTTGTCTGATCAAATCCTGCAATCCCAGCTGGTATATATTTACACTTGAAAAGCGTCCTGCTTTTGGTGGAATTGACCCCTCAACAACACATGGTTTTGTCGCATCCTTTGCAATTCTTCCTGCCCGCCCAATTGCCCTCTTGCCAATTGTATACTTCTGTAGGTAGGTATCACATGCAATTCTAAACAGACCCTTTAATTTAGAAGGGTAGGTTTTTTGGATTCCATACCAGAGAAATTCTCTCTCTTTCTAACATTCTTTCCACCTCTCTCTCGCTTATTCGAATTGGATTAGTCTCGCTTTAAAATTGAGGGCAAACTAATTATAGTAAGATGGTTTGGTTCGGCTAGCTTGGGTCAAGGCCCAATTCTTTTCAAGTGCTGCTCAATGAATTTTAAAATTAACTGAGTACACTCTCTACAAAATTATTTATTGAATTATTAATTACCCTAATATAAAATAACTTTCTGACTGGTTTGGAGCTGTCTCAATGTGTCTTTTCATTTTGGTAGACTGGATATAAGATTTTGAAAACTCGGTCCTGTGGGAATTTTGCGTGTAAACCTTGTTATAGTAGGTTGATAGATTAGCCGTTCTCTCCCCAATTTTAATCCTTGCACGATTTGGTTGGTTAAAATACGATGTTAGGAGGTGGAGCTTACTCTGTTATTTTGTCAGATTGGAAAGTATATTTTCTGTAATTCCTTGGAAATTCTGTTTGCGTTAATTACACAGAATATTAGTAGAACCTCAAACAAACAAGCATCAGATGATAGTGACAGAGCATGTGGATGGAAAATTGCTGCGCAATCCCATTTGAAATGAAGGGAAGAAGAAAACTACTCCGTTCATCCCAACTTCTAAATGACATGCCCAAATCTCATGTCTTTCTCTCAATTTTATCCCACGCTTGCCCTCTCATTCTTGTGGTTTTAGTGTGGACAACTTTTGCTATGGTTGATGCTAGTTGGTTGAGGGTTGTCTTTCGTGCCCAAAAATAAGCCTCTTTCATAATTTAAAATTCTTCCGTCTACCCCCATGGTGAAGTATGGTCTGAAAGAAAGGAGCCTTCCCCCTCCCCTGGGTCAAGGTCCAATTTGATCGGAAAGCAGCCAGAAAAGATTTCCAAAGTCTCCTGTTGTGTGATAGGGTATATTAAGGATATTTTTGGTAGTTAAATAAGATGTACTTAATTAATCTTATATTTTGATTAAAATATTAAAGTGTACTTAGATTATATGGTATACTCAGTTAATTTTAGGGTTTGTTTAGTAACACTCTTCTTTTTTCTTTGCATGTTTTCAACATTGTTAGCTTAATTACAATAAAAAAAATTCATAACTTGCTATATATATATATATATATATATTTCCATTTTCTAGCATATCAAACTATCCTAAAATTCAACATGCAATAAAACTTCAAGTTCAATAACTAATATACTTACAATATATCAATAACTTCAAAGTTCTATCAATAACTAATATAGTTACAATATAGTTACACTAAAATGAAAAATACTTATACAAGTAGACGGTCCAAACTGGGTAGGTGTTTCCCTCTTTTCGGGTGAGGATGCAGACAAAATGAACTTTTGGTCCTTCTTCTTTTGAGTGCAGAGTGTGCCACCACCAAGCCCCGAATTTGGGCTTGAATGGAATGTGTGTAGATGGATGTGTTGCGCTTCTAACTTCTGATCAAACGATTGATCGGCCAAGCAAGGAACCTCCTATTGGCCTAGATTCTTTCACTTCCTCGGGCTCAAGGATGGTTAGGATTCGTACGGATGTTTTTGTGATTTTTAGGGTTTTAAGTAAAAATAATGCAATTAAACTAAATGTGCATTTAAACGTAAAGACAAGAATTGAAGTGTGATAAAATATATCAAAGCGATAAATAAAAAAGAACGAAATAAGAACAATAAGAACGGTAAACTAAATTAAACTTGAATTTAAACTTAATGAAAATTCAATAACAATGAAAAAGAAAGCGATTGAAATAAACTTGAATTTAAATGACAAGATAATATAAATTGCAAGAATTTAAACTTAGATTAAGGAAAGGAAGAACTTGCTATACTAGGTGCTTCAAAAGTAAAATCCAAAGTCTAGGAAAAGAAAAGTTTAAGACAAAAGATAGGTTTGTCTGTCTAATGATTGTGTGTATTTTGCCTTCGTTTGGTGAAGTTTATATAGGGCACCCATTGGCCCATGGGTTGGCCATTGAATGGCCAAATGTCAACTCTTTTAAAACTCTTTCCTTTCGAAGCCC